TTCTTCATAGAAAATAAATCTGTAAAGCGAACAACATATATATGTATATTGTATATATAAACTATATATATATATATATAAACTCTCTCTCTCTCTCTCTCTCTCTCTCTCTCTCTCTCTCTCCCTCTATCTTTTTGAGCGAAATATGACTCAAAGAGACTGAAAATTGAACCAGTCTTAAAAAAAAAGTAAAAATACTATCATTCTTGTTCAAGAGTGGCAGATTTTCACTTTTTTGGAATGAGACATCATTCTTTTAAAGTGAGATATTACTTCAAAAGAATGAATGTCTCATTCCAAAATAGTGAAAAACCTGCCACTCTTAAAAAAGAATGATAATATTTTCACTTGTTTTTCAAGACTGGTTCAATTTTCAATCTCTTCGAGTCAGATTTCATTCCGAGATTTAGAGAGCCCACACACTTTGCACAAACACAATATACAACATACAACACAATATACAATATACACATAATATACATAAGTAATAATAAGTATCTTGCACAATTTCTATATTGTGTGTATACAATCTTCATTATCCAAATCCAATTCTATACTTTGATTATCACCGGTAACTATTACTTGAAACATTAAGTCTCGATTAACTAAAATATATTATTATATAAATAACACAATTATATTAATTTTATAAAAAAACTTAGTATTATAAATAAGATTGTCATTGCACATCATTGATTTCTGTGTCAAATATATTTGATTTAAATGAAACAGGTGTTGTCTTCATAAGATGTGGTGCTATATTAAAAATATCAAGATCAATCTCGAGATCAATATTTACTTGTACTTGTGGTGGTCTCCCACTAGTTACCAAATATGATTGCTTTTCTCTTGTTGATCATCAGTGATAATAATAAAGAAAACGTATTTATGTAACCCCTTTCAATTATGGATCGAAATAAGTATCAAGGCAGAAGTTGAAAATCCATAATTGTAAAATTATGTTTAATTGGTTCTTCGGTCAAGAACCAGCTCAGTCAACAATTTCATAAAACGTCATTTCGAACGAGGATTTCTTTCTTCTCAATGACTATCCTGTATTTTGTACAATTAAATATCAGTTTCTGATTAAAAAATTATTATATTTAATTCAATATTGATGAAAATTTATTTTTTACTTACGTTAATTTATATAGAATAGTCAATCCGTAATATCTTAATACAGAAATAACTAAATAAGATTAGCTTAGAATGATAATGTTTATTATGTATCATATGTTAGTTCGTTGACATTGGATGGGATTACATAAATACATTTTCTTTATTATCAATGATGAAGACTTTATAAGTCGAAACATTTGAAATTTATAGCGTTATACGAATGTAATAAAAGACGAATTTTATTATTATAGTTAACTATATTTGCTCGTTTTTTAAAAAAAAGTCTTGACATTTTAATTTATAATGTTTATATTTATTAAAAATGCATTTATTTTGTATAAAAACGCTTTTCAAATAATCGAGGTAACACAAAATAACCGAAACGAAACGAGGCATATGTCCAACCCGTAGTCTCACGGATTAGATTATGTGACATGCTCACTTATTCTAAATCCGTTCACTGAACATTGGCGCACATGAATGCAACTACTCCAACCGCCTTACCTATGATCCAAATGCTCTCTGGGTTAATTTGGAGCATGCGAACAAACCTTAGATATAGCAAAAGTGCTAGTGCATATATATAACCATAAAGCATGGGTTATACATATAAAAGATGTTATAAAAAAACTTTATCATGAATTCAATGTTCCTATTGGAGGAACTAATTATATATATTATATATAAACAGCCGAATTAAAAATAAGCATAGTCTTAAATATGTCTTTGTCAAATCGATCTCAATCAAATAAGATTTACTTAAGCAAAACCTTCTTCACAAAGATCGTCTTATTTTATGAAATAATATTCAAGATGGTCTTGATTGAATAAGACCTTATTGATCAAGATGATCTTGAATGCGTTCCATTTCTTGCATGATATGCATAGAAACATAGAAGTTCGTTCCGTTTCTCTTCATGCACACTCGCTGCATGCATGACCTATTGCATGAGCCCGCCTCTTCCGGTGCACAAGACCGTGTAAAGTGCCTCATCTCTCGAGCAATTCATGCAGCTTATGCATTCAACATATTTTAGCGCGAAACTGAAATCATGGATGGTTCAGCTGAGGTGAGTGTATTCAAAATCATGTAAGGATTAAAGATACGTAAGTAGAGTACTCAGAATATCCAAAAATTTTTTAATTTAACATTTCATATATACATATTGTATATTACATAATATATATAGGGTATAATACTGGTATTATCGAAAAATTATGCGTATACTGATATTATGAAAATTTCGGTTAAATATCGGTATTTAACATCCAATACTGATATAACTGGATCTCGGTTTTGCGTATACCGCTATAGAATATCGGTTTTTAATCCCTGATTTATATAATACTAAAAAATTAATATATTGACATATTACCGCTATTTTTCATATCGTTTTAAATTCCTAAATATAAAATAGTAGATTATGATAGAGGTATGAGATTAAGTTTACATTAGTTATATATATAGTCCTTACAAGATAGGTAGAGAAAAGTAAAAATAACGAATTTTAAGGATGTTTTGTATAATTGTATATTGATGTATGTATAATTGTAGCAAAAAGTTTCTGAAATTTGATTTTGATGAATATGTACTGTTTTCATATGATTTGAATAAGAAAGATTGTATACAGAATCTTATCATTTACTCATAATTAAAATGCAGAAGTGTACTTTTGAATTTCTATGCTAATTATTTCTGAAAAAAATGAAAAATTTTTGACAGTATCTCAAATCTAACCTTAAAATCTTTATATTTTAAACTTTTATAACTTCAAGTTGTTTCACAGTGAATCGATTTTGTTATAAGTGTCTGAACATATGTAAGAATAAAATTTTTGTTAAATTTCTAATATTTTAGAAATACATATTAAACATTCTTTTTGAACATTTTGGTAATACGTTTTATTTTTCTTTTCCTAGAATAAGATTGTGCTGCTCAAAAAATATAAATCTTCTTCTTTTATCAAAAAAGAAAATGTAACAGTAATTATTGAATGCATTTATAATTCAGTCAATTTTAAATTATCGTCCATATTCACTGCATGAATTCACTATGAATTCGTTCCGTTACTAAAATCGCATGGAATGTATTAAAGAAACGGAACGTACTCTCCATGCCATGTACTAAATACTCATGCGCTTCATACAAGAAACGGAACGCACCTTTTAAATGTTGCCTTGAGTTTTGACTATAGCTTTCGACAATGCAAATCTGAGGAGTTGAGGAGTACTCTTTTTCTACAGTGCACGTGACATATGCTATAATATAAGAGCACTCCGACATCTCAGATTTTGCATTACCGAATGCAGTTTTATGAATATGGACCTAAGAGTACAAACAACAGATTATGAATGAGGCAAAATCGGAAACGCAATGCAAAACGAGCGCATTTTCAAATGTGAAATGTAAAATTGAAATTGTACAGTTCGTAGCAGGAATGTCTGGGTTTCGATTTTAGAGGTCCACGTTTTATTCTTAATTATTTTTACATTCATGTTAAAAATCTGATACGACCAGATGTTACGTCAGCGATCATAAATGTATCGTATTTGTGAATTATGTTTTGACAACCGGCCAATGTAATCTCAGTTTTAATCAGTGAAATCTCTCTCTATCAGATAACCTAGTAATTAGGTGAAGACATTTCAATATTTCTCCATTCGAAGAAAGACAGCAAAAGTTTTTCTCTCCCTGCACAAATGTCGATATGTCGATTGTAAATTAACTTTGCTAAGTCAGGCCTTTAGAGTCACTTTTGTACAAACATCCAATGTCGATTTTAGAACGTCTAATGCGCTCATAAAATTGGAATCATTTTGTCCTTGTTTAATTATATTATAGTTAAATAAGGACGAATGCTGTTCATGAATGTGTAGACATGAATCAGATTACTGCCTATAAGAATAATATATAATCTATTTTTTTAAATAGTCGACTTAAGTCGACTTTAAGTCAAAAAACACAAAATATTGCACAAAATATTCGTGAGATGTACGCGTACGTGATTGTGCACGATGCAGCATACAACAGCTAATAAGTGGCAATTGCAGAAATAGCGGCCGGGAGTCTGTTAATAATTAAAAAATAGAATTAATAATATAAAAGATTTATTATTAAAGATTTGGGAACATCAGTGCAACTATGGTAATGTATTTTTGTATAAAATATTATTTATGTATTTAATTATTAATTGAAAGACATTTAATTAAAGATATTTTAAAATTGGAATAACGCGTATATAGTTAGAGCTGGATTGTGTAAATTAATTATTTATGATTAAATAACTAGAAAACCTGAAAATACCCAAACAATTTTCTGAATTCGAAACATCAACGAAATCGACAAACTTTACTTTATTACAATTCAGATCATGAAGTAGCCTCTCAGCCGGTTTTATTTTCAAATATTGATGACTCAATCGATGGTCCATCATGTTCAGCTTTCGAAGAGCTTGAGATTGAAGATGGCATGATAGAGAGATCAATCACAATATTCAGCTTTATTAGAAACTGATATTTATATTAATTACAATGACAATACCAGTAATTCATCATCAGAGACAAGCAACGACGAATTTCAAATCAATTCTGCAAGAAAATGTACATTTGCTTTTGATAGATGAACTGTGCAATTGAGCAAATGAATTTCAAATTAATCCAAATGCATTAACCTCATTACAAGTTCTTTCAAGATATGAGCATGACGATTTATCTCGGGATGCATGAACACTTTTGAATACCCCAAGACCAGATGATATTAAAACCTTTCCAAAGGTCAGTATGTTCACTACTTATTTTATTAAAGCACTTATATCGGTAATCCTTTTCATGCTTTCGATTATTGTGATGTAATTTATTTGGACTTAAATTGATGGCAATTTCGAAAAGCTCAAAGAATCAGCTTTGGCCGATTTTAGACAGAATTTCTGGTTTGCATCATTTGCATCATTTATCATCGGTGTTTATCGGTGTTTATGGCTACCAGAAAGCTTGCCTAATTTCTTCAATCATTTGTGGATGAATATCTAAATTTAAAAAACAATGGATTCTCAATCAACAAACAGCCCCTGCAAATCAATATTTGTGCTTATCTGTGATGCTCCTGCTTGAGCATATGCACAAAATCGCATAATGGACACTTTGCCTGTGAAAAATGCACTGTCAGGGGTGAAAGAATAAACAGGCGAATGACTTTTTTGGATACACTTCTGCTCCACTTTGAACCGATATTGATTTCATTAACAGGTCGCAACCAGAACATCATCTTCAAGGTATTTTCGCATTTAAATTGATTTCAGTTCCATTGATAAGTCATTTTCCTATAGACTACATGCATAATTCCTGTCTTGGTATAAATAAGCAATTTCTAAAGTTGTGGATAGATAGGTCGAAAACTTCCAGAGCCCAAGTTCATCTTAATATTTTGTCAGATGCACTGACAAATGTGTCAAAGTATATTCCAACAGTACATTCTCGCCAGACTGCCAACAGCTTTGTAAGTTTAGATGAAGCTAATTATTTCATAATATTTTAAAATCTTTTATGATTAATTGTATGTACTTTTGTTTGTTGTGCAGTAAACTCTACTTCGCAATAAATCAATGATTCGAAAAGTATGAAAAATAATGATCTCATATCATTAACAGTGCCACATATGTACCTCCTATTTGTAACTTTATTTAAATTTCTGTAGAAAGGCAACAAAAGTTTATGATAAAAATTCCCGGCATCTCATCTATCAGCCCTGGGAAAGCCAATGGATCATCATTAGGAGCGACACGATGAATCACATCACTTGTCTGATATATAAGATTGGTAGCCCTGTATCCATAATCTCACAGTTTATATCAATGTATATACACAATATCAAAACTTATTAGGAAAAAATGAATCTATTACCTATATCTTTAAAATTTACAATTACAATCTGTATACTGCTGTTTCTGTGATATTGCTAAATAGGAATAGAAGTAAATTATAAGGACTTTCAATAGCATTTCCCAATGCTTATATTTATTAAAATTTATATTTATTAAAACTTTCTAGAAATTTGTCCAAGTTTATACTTACTAGATTTAAGCATTTGAAGAAGCTGAGACAAATCCTTCTCTTAAGGAGTGTTTCTCTTTTGAGAACACAAATTAGACCACAAATTGACTGTGCTCGAGGTTCATTGGATAAGTCTGTTCTAAAATGAACTAATGAGCGGTGAGCACATCTATGTTGATTTATGCTTTCAAAAGGAAAACCAATAAAACTATATTAACTTCTATGATTTTAAGATTCGGTTTCACAATATATTATTTTAATTACTAAATTACTAATTTATTAGTAATAAACATTTTGTTCTATAATACTAGAAAAGGAAAAGATTATTATTTACACGTTAAGTTACAAAATAATATAAACAATAATAAACAAAGAGCCATACGCTGTCTTTATTGCGAAATATCTCGATTCGAATTTGTTAACAATTGGTCTCACAGACATTTCGACCATTATTTGATATCATCATCAGTATGAAACATAAATCGATTTAAAATAATAGTTAATAATAATTTCTTAACAATGAAATATAAGAAAATTACGATGCATGGATATATAAACTTGATTTTTTTTATTCTTCCTTACAGTGATTTGTTTGATCCAAGGTTTACAACATTTAAATTTGTTATGAATGACATCGTTCTATCTTCATTTATCCTAAATATGATCGTCTTAATGTACAGGAATTCTGATTAACAACTCAATTGGGTTAGATCCTTCTTATATGAAGCATACATATTAATAAGATATTTGATTTTCAGACTGACCTGATTCATTACGGTTCGACGATATAGAAAATGAATCCTCAATGAGAAATCATAATAATTGCTGTGATAAGCAAATAATTTCTTACAGAGGAACATTACTGATTTGTTAATAGTTCATCTCTTTAATGTGTCTTTCTTAATATTATATTTTTATGTTGTATTTTATATTGTATTTTTAAACAAAAATACATAAAAATATATATAAATTATTTTAAGTGCACATCACAAACTCATTCTCCTGTTCCTATAATAATAAATAATAAAAATAGCCAGTGCTGGTAATGGTTATTGTAACAGATAGACTTGATTTTATTAAAATATTAATAGTTATTAATGCTAATTCAATTTATATATTATTAATTTTTATGTTGCAATTTCTTCATATCATTACAGACGAATGCAGAGACTATATCTGTAACTGAAAAGATTGTAACTGAAAAAATTGTGACAAATGTAATGCTATTGAAGCTCTACTAAAAGAGGGGAATGGAGGTTATAGCACAAGATCTGTTTGTGCCTCCATTGCCTCTAATGACGCTGAAACAGTTTTTGCAGTGTGAAAATCAGTTGGAAGTAAATATCAACATGAGAAAACAATTTGTAAGTATATTCATGTTGTCATATTTACTAAATATTACTTTAAATGCTTGTATTATCCGTTAGGAAAATTGTGTTTTCTCAGAAATTTATTCGCCATCTTATAATAATACTTTTAAATTTCGCCATTTAATTTCTCATGTATCATCAAGTACTTTTTTTTATTTATATGTATTAAATTTGGTAATTTTATATTGAGCATCATTGAAAAAGATTTGATATAACATTAAAGTATGACAATGCAAATAGAAAATTAAGTGGCAAAATTGCTACATAAAAAGATGTATGATGATCGGTACTAAATTAACCATCGACTAAATTCATTTTCGCTGTCTTATATACATTTCTTCCATTCATAATATTCCATTTGTGTATATTTTTTGTAACTATATTACAGGAACATGTCGAATCAGAAGTTCGACGGGTAAACAGTTTATTAGAAATACTTTATCACAAATTATCTCTAATGAAATAGTCACTCAAATATCATGGACAGGTCAGAAGAGTGATGTAAGCTTTAAATCTACATCCATATCCAACTAATAATCGGTAACATTTATTCCATTATACCTACTTTCCCATAACAACAAGGTTTAAAACATTTTTGTGAAATTGGAAACATAGCCTTTTACATGCAATCTTCGTAGCATCCATGAAATTCATCATAAATATTATTTAAAAATATCGATGAGTTACACATAATTAGTTAAACATAATACTACATATCAAAGTATAAAGGCCCCTATATAGATAATTTTAACAAGTGTGAATTATATAAATGCGAAAATTATATTCAAAATTAGATTGAGATGTCTATTGTTTCTGATATCAGATAAATGTTCAACTAATACATTCTAGTCATCTTAAGCCTCATGCTAACAGATAATTTTGGAACGTATAGCTTGGTTGCCCATACTAAGGCTATAATATGCAGAGTATTCGCATCCACTATTTTTAGTCCCTTTGTCACTCTCTTGCTCCTTTTTCCAATCCCTTGCTCTCTCTCCACTCCGCCGCTGAGCTGAGAAGATTGAAGAGAGAAGATTGAAAGTTAAAGAAAGAACAAAGAGGGAAAGGACTAAAAATGGCGGATGCGAATACCTATATTATAATGCTCCCATACTTTTACACTTGTTTGAAACGTGCAAGTTGATTGATTATTTAAAAAAAAAATTTGCATTGGTGCAAAAGTGAAAAAGTGTAATTAATCAGAACAAACCTATTGCCTTATATAATATTTAATTGATTTGTTTATAAAATTTATAAATATTATTTTATATTTTTATTTTTATTAATGCAATTATTTTAATTGTACATATTTCAGACTCAGTGATGAAACGGTTACCAAGTTCGACGTCTGCCGAATTAGAAGAAGCCATAATTGGAATGTAGCTTGGTTGCCCATACTAAGGCTATAATATGCAGAGTATTCGCATTCGCTATTTTTAATCCCTTTGTCTCTCAGAAGCCATCAAAAAATGGTTTCATCGCTCAGATGATAGAATAAAAAGCGTTACAAAACAAAATAAACAGTATATAAAATTAGTATAAACAATATATAAAATATAATAAAACATTACTATATTAAAATCATTTTTTAAATAAATATAAAATATATAAATGTAACAA